GACTTTGGTAAGCGAAACATGCCAGGTAAACGTGCTGGAACACATTTCTCACAGTTAAGCGAGTTTGAGAGAGGCCTGATCATCGGGATGAAAACTGCAGGCTGGTCGACGCACCGTGTTGCTGGCCAGTGGATCGTTCGGAGTGTGCCGTTAGAAATTATTGGGAGCAGTGGACACGAGAAGGTACCCACGCGCGGAAAACCGGGTCTGGAGCGACCAGGAAGACCACGAGGAGAGATGATCGAAGGACCATGCGGCAAGCACTTGTGGACCCCACAGCGACTCGTGCAACGATACGAGCAGACGTAGGCGTAGCAATTGTTCCACAAACAATTTCCAAGCACCTTGCAGAAGCAAATCTTAAATCCAAGCGCCCTTTCCGTGCACTCCCTTTAACACCGGAACATCGGCAACTGTGTCTACAGTGGTGCCAAGCCAGATCAATGTGGAATGTCACAGATTGGCAAAAGGATGTGTTTAGTAATGAATCCCGGTTTGTTTTGGGGACAGATGATAACCGTGTACGGGTGTGGAGGCGCTCTGGTGAGTGGTACGATTCCCCCCACACCGGTCCACTTTAATTGTGATGCGTGGAACCTTAACGGGCCAACGTTACGCTGATGATATTCTTCGACCCTATGTAGGACCTTTCCTAAATGGTCTAAAAGGGGCAATTTTCCAGCAAGATAATGCTCGTCCGCATACAGCAAGAGTTGCTCAAGACTTCCTACGTCATTTTCAGACTCTTCCATGGCCGGCCCGCTCCCCCGATTTGTCCCCTGTAGAGCACGTGTGGGAACAGCTAAAACGGCAGATGCCATCGTGTCACTCTGTACATGATTTAGAGTTGGCTGTTCAAGATTTGTGGGCTCATCTGCCTCAGGACAACATAAGGTGTCTAATCAACTCATTGCCGGACCGTGTGGTGGCATGTATTGCAGCTGGAGGTGGTCCAAAGCGCTATTGAAGTTGCCCAGTATTTGTGTCGTTGCACACCCTGTATTCGTTTAATTGTCTTGTTTTTGAAATCAAGTGAATCTCTTATCTGATTCATTATGTGTATTAAATTTCATTTCAATCCGATGCTTTCTTCTTGGGTCGCTATTTTCAATGTTCCTGAGTTTATGTAGGCAAAATATTATTCTAATAGAAGCATTTTTTACTAAAGGAGAACATTTGAAAAAGATTATTCTAAGTTATTTTTTTGCCAAAATTTTGTATTTAAATAAATATATTTTTTTTGTCAAAATGTCCTTAAAACAATTTTATGCATATATTCTAATCTATGTGACATTAAATATCATGAAAATTATCCATTTATGCGCGCTGTTGAAAATCACGGTTCCGAACGTAGTTGGATACCTTAAAACATTCCATAAATACTTCATTTTAGCATGCAAAGGGATAATTCATTTAGCATTACGATATGGGAGAAAAAAATGCGAAACACATTACATATAAGAAAAAAAGGTATCAACACAGAGATAAAAATAAGTAGTATGATGCAATATATTGCCCTCTATAGGATAGCGAAACCAGAATAAACCAGTTCTTTTATATTTGAAAAAATGTTCCAAATTTGGATCCTATTCTTTACCATTATAAGATGATAGAACACCTTTAAAACTCAATTTTTGGTCAAAATATCTATTTTTCGTTTCACGTCATATATTAAAATTCAATCTTTTATCTTTATAAATCTGTTTAAATTCTGTTTCTAACTTAATTAGAAGCCGAGTTATAGCTTTTTAAATATTACGTGATCATGAATTTCTCTGATAGAAAATGATTTTCTGCTAACCGGAATTGGCCCAAGTTGTTTTCTTACGTTTCTCTTTCATGGCATATGTCATGAAATATTATAATTAATATACAAGTATTTAGTTAGAAATTAAAATAAAACATTTCAAAATAATAACCCTAAATAAACCCCCTATAAAATACCCCTTTGACAGTAAAAAAGTACATTAACAAAACTTTTCTTGGGTGTTTTCTAATTTTAGAGAACCATAAGGTTATAAATATGTATTTACAGGCAAATTTCAGGTTAATTCAAAAAAATTTCTTCAAAGGTCGTATAAACATTTAGATAAATGCAGATTTCGTGAATCGATTCGTAACGCAGACCGCAAAACAAAGAGACAGAAAAATTTTAAGAGCACTTAAAAAGAAAAAAAATTAGTGTTTTAGAAGTTAAAGAGGAAAAGAATTATAAATATGGTGCATTTTAATAAGAAAGTAAATGTTTTTCCTGTAATCAGATTAGTTTAATGTTATTTTTGTCGTTTTCTCAAAGTGAGTTTTTTACATTTTTTCTTACCGCAAAACACAATACCTCAAAAAGTTATGCTTGAATGAAACAAAAATTTGATATATGTTTTTTAAATACTTATACAGGGAACAGACCATTCTTAAGATTTTTTTTTATGTTGAGCATAAATTTTTTTATATAGCAATAAAGTGAGAATTACAATAGCTTTTAAAGAAAATTTCAACATTCAAAACTCGAAACACAATAACTTCCCATGTAGTGGTTATATTAACAAAAAATAAAAGTCTATTCCTAAGATAAAGTTGTATGCTATATTATTTATATATATATAATTTACAAAATTTCAATATATTTATTTTCTTTTCAGTTATCATGTTTTGCATAAATTCTTATTTTTGCTTATTTTTTTTATAAAATACCACTTAGACAGTAAAAATGTACACTAACAAAACTTTTCTTGGGTGTTTTTCTAATTTTAGAGACCCATAAGATCATAAAATATGCATTTACTGGCAAAATTCAGGTTAATTCAAAAAGTTTTCTTTGAAGGTGTTCTGTTACCGTAAGAAAAGATAGCCCCAAAAATTAAGATACCCTACACCAGGGGTGGCGAAACTTTATGGATCAACATGCCATTTTTTCTAAAGAAATATTTAATGAGGTATAGACGTGCCGTGTGTGTGTGTGTGTGTGTGTCAAATAATTTCGACTTGTGATTATTGGGAAAATAATAAAACTAAATACTAACTCAAAAATCTTTATTTACTACGAAAAAATATATTTTGCAATGTATGGTAGTAAATGTTTAAATAACTTTAGTGTGATTTCAGTTGTTGCAGATTAGATGACAAATAATTTATATTAGGATTGTAAGATGTTACTTTCGGCACATACAGAATGCATGCTAAATTGGAGTCATCTGCCCAAAGGTTTCTAAGGGAGTCTTTAATGTTATTCATCTCTGAAAATAATGACACTCAAGCATAGGTAGATGAAAATATGGTTAAAATGGCGTAAGCCAGCTTCTTCAAATAAATAAATGCGTCTGGAATCAAATCCCCGCCACCCCGAAACCGATCACTCGCGTTTGTTCGTAATACTTCATAATGAACTTTGTTATTTTGAACGGTGGAGTGCTCAAAATGTTGTATCGCATGCCATTGGTTCGCTATCCCTGCCCTACACTGATTGTTCTGATCAATCAAGTATCCCAATATTTGAGTAAATATATTGAATCCAGTGGCGCACACAAGGGGGGGGAGGCCCGGGTCCGGACTCCCTCCCCTTGAGTCCTTGATTTTTTTCCCGATTGATTATAATCCTATGTATATAGTACGTAAAATTTAAAAAGGTTTTGTTTTTAATAATTAATTTTATTAATCATTGCTAATTATTTATTCAAGAATTAATTTTTTTACTGTTTTTGATTCCCGAAAATCGACAAAATCAAAAGAATATGACGGGCAGCGTATTGGAGCATGATATGAGAATGGTGGACTTTTGATCCTGCCCCCTCCCGTGAAAAAAAATTTCTGAGTGCGCCACTGATTGAATCACACACACACGTAAGATTTTAGGTACAAAACTATTATTTAACTCACATAACTGGTTATTCTTAAGAGGATGAGAGAGCCCTTATTATTTTTATAAGTAGAAAATTATTTTAAATTTTCAACATTTACACACTTTATCTGTAATTTATTCATGATATACAGTACACGACAAAAAAAAATCGTTACCTAATTCTAATGTATGAATTCATGTGCATGCATAAACTTTTAAACAATTCTGTGCGATTAAAGCTTCGTATCATTCGATAATTCTCAGCTTCGTAAAAATATATCATTTTTGTTTTTAAATATTTTTTCAAGCCTACCTGGCGAAGTTACATTAACGACGCATTTAGAAGATAATTTATAAGATAAAAAAGAGATACAAAATGTTCTCATTACGTTAAAACATTTCAATACGGGGACATCAGGAAATGAAGCAATGAACCCATAAAAAAGTTCATTGAATATTCAGGATGAAAGCCTATCTCATGAATAGAAAGTTTTAGAAAGTTATATATTTAAATGGACCCCACGAATTCCATTTAGTACCAAGAATATTTTAATCATTTTCTATCCTTTATCTGCATGATAATGACTAATATCACTAATATAATTGTGAAGAGAGAGTTCACGCTTGAGCTGCCAACCTTATAGAAAAATTATTTAGGGGAAAAACAGGTTCACATACGTACATGTGCTTATCTTTTCTGATAGACTGGTTCGATATTTTGTTTAGTTTGACCACAGGGAACAACAGTTATAAATTTAGAGTTCTTGCACAGAATATTTAGCAGCAGAAATATTTTCAACGGAACTGATCTATTGTCGAAGCTACACATAAAATCCTTTTAAAATTATAATGTCAAGAGATATTCGAAATTTTTAGATTTATTAAATAATATAAAAAAATTAAGTCAATTCTTACTTAGGTCAACAAAGAAAAAATTTATTTTAGTCACTTTTTATTAAATAGTTACAATTAAGATAAATATGTGTATATATATGACAGAATCACAATATTAAGTGACAAAATAGAAAGCAATTTTCCGTATTCCCTTCTATATAGGGTATTGGACTATTTTTGTTTGTTTGTTACTATTTATTCATTAATTAAATTTAATTATTCTAATAAAATAGTACAGTAAAAAAAGAAATCACGTTCTCCGAAATTAGACCATCCCCTAGGAGGGATTCGAACCCACTACCATTGGATTAGAAGTCCAACGCGCTATCCATTGCGCTACAGGGACATAACGAGCAAATTTGCCTTTTTATATATGGTGTTGGACTATTATTTTTGTATTATTCTTTTTATTCATTAATTTAATTAATGAATTAATATTTGTAAAAACTATATTAACATCAAGTGTCATCCACGACATATTTACAAAATGTATTTGAACCTTTATGGATGAATAGAAAGTATTTTAGTGACGATTGAAAATTTGAACAAAATATATAGAGAGAAAAAAAGAGAACTAATAGTACGAATTGAAAAATATTGCTAGGCAAAGAGAAATCTAATAATAAACACTGCAAAATTTAATGTATCAATAGAATAATCTTGGAAAGTTAAACGATTTTGTTAGAGTTAAGTTTTGAAATGTTTTGAACAACTTTTTTATAGAAATAATTGGAAACATATATAGATTTAAGAAATAATATGTATTCAAACTTATTTTAGTAAAATGGAATCATAGAAAAGAATAAAGTTATAAAAAAGAATAAGATTTTTTCAATGCGATTTCAAACTTTAAAGTACTAGGATGACTATATAAAAATTAAAACACTAATGCTTATGATGACAGTATGAAGTATAAATAATGTGCTTCAATAAATTAAATACATGCTGTTTTAACTTTTGACAACACACTAATCGCTTGGAAATTCGTCAACTTAACATTACTAAAGAGAGAAAAATTTAGAAATGAAGATTTTTTAAACAAAATTCTAGGTTAAATAATTTCAAAATAATTTATTAAACATAATACTTTAAAAATAAACAAAGAAAACTTTACATTATTTTAAAAAACTCAGCATTTTATGCATATAAAAAAGATGTCTTGTTTAAAATAATATATCTATATAAAAGTCGATAAAAAAATTCTGCATTTAAATTCAAACGTTTCCTCAGCACTGTAACCCCAAAGACAGAATTACTTTATTTTTTAAGACGATTTGCATTCATTGATCTGAAAGTGTTTATAAGAAAACCAGCAATCAAGAGTTCAAAGAATTATATAAAAGGGTCTTCTAAAACAACAGGGGAGTAACTATGGCCGTAACAGCCGTATCAATAATACGGGGACCCAATCTACAGGAGCCCCAACATGTGTATCTATAGACCCACTAGCAGGATTCTCAGATCTAAAAAAGGCCCCGAAGGAATTTTGATATATGGCCCACTCAGAGTTAGCTACGCCAGTGTAGAACAGCAACCGATATGCGAGAACATATACACAAGGTTCATCTGGCAATCACAACATACGGATGGGTTACTTTTTTTTTTCTAAAATGCATCTAATTAGTATTGTAAAACAAGCCAGTAATATTGACGAAAACGCAAATAAGTAATGAAATTTAAATCTTAAGCGAAACATCTTCACACACGCACACACAATTATCGTGTAACAGATACATATCCCCACATAGGAATCGTAGGAAATTATAATTTAATGTAAAAAGTATTAATTTGTTTTAACTGAAAAATACATCGCCTCAAAACATCTATTTTTAAATCAAAGTTAAATAAAATTATAAAACGTATTATTCAAATCGAATTTTAATGCTCAACATGACAGTTACAAAATAAATGCTGCATTCGAATCTCTTCAGCTACACTTGAGTGAAATTGAAAATGGATATTTGTTCGCTCCCATACTAACTACCTTGTCAAGAAGAAAGGGATTTTTACACATGCAAAAAAGCAATGCTCAGCATCTTTCAATAAAAGCTAAAACACAGCTATTATTACTACATCTGTGCTTTCTTCTTTTTTTTATGTCTATGTAATATTATAGAGACTGCAATGTATATGTTTATACATTTCTATTAAAGAATTTCAGATCTCTATTTCTCTTTCAATCTTACACTTCTTAACAGATCAATGCTTCAAATAAAAATTATTTTTGTAGAGCAAAATATAAAATATTTATTAAAACATGGTTACGAAGACAAAAAAAAAAATTACTGCTCATTTAAAATACAAATTTTATGAAAACTGAAGTATCATTTGAAAAGCATATACAAAATTAAACTAAGTAGTACATTAAAATTAATACATTTCAAGAAACAATATAAACTTAATTTAAAAACTATCGCAAAAGAAGTTTTGTAGAATATTTTCCATTTTTTAACTAAAATAGAATTAAGCATAAGGATTCAAATTTAGAACACAACTAATAACATTACAATATTATTTTCTTAGCACAATACCAAGTTTATATATATTTGAATCATATTACAACACAATTTAACTTAAATTTAATTTTTATTATGCCAATTTTAAACTTGTATAACAACAAAAACGAAAATGCACTTATTTCCCAAAAACAGTATACTTTATTTGTGCGAAAAGTAAAAACTTAAGTTTCCCAAACAGAATTAATTCGCACTAGAAACTGATATTCTGGATTTATAAAACGTCCACTAGGGCTATCCCCTGCCCTATTACCACAAAAGAATATTTAATATTATGAACCATTACTTTTCCTGGCTGCAACTGTGCTAAAATCAAAGCTAAATAAGCATTATTCTTAATGCAATGACTGATAAAATTAGGCTGATATCCTCAAAAGTCATAAAGTATTTTTCCTTATCAGACAGAAAAATACATCGGTTTATTTTGAAACATATAGAAATTGAGATTTCTTATAAAAAATTACCCTGCTTTGATAATTAAATGGACTTTTCGTGCATTTTTAAGTCTCAACGTAATTCAAGACTCCGGTAATTCAGACTCAACGTACTTAGGGTAATTCAAGAAATTGATGTTTAAATTATTCCTCTTTTTTAAAAAAAAAAACAAGATTTTACGAAATAATTTTTATCTTGAAATCCCCTAAAAAAATACATTAAAAAAAAGAAAAATATGTTAAGATTTTATTCGAATCCTACTAAACTTATAAAAATTTTAAGATCAATTTTCGAATTTAAGAGCACGCGTAAAGGTGAGGAAAAGAATTAAAATTAATTTTTTTTCGGGAAAAAGAAATTAAAGCTTAAAGAAGAGTTGGTTGAAATTTGACGCATTCAAAATCCAAACAGAAATTTTTGCAGAGAAAAAACTATGCAATTTTATTTCCCATGAATTAAATCGATATGTTAGAAAAAATAGAGTTGATCTTTTTGAATTTGCATGTTGAAAGAACAAACTAGTTGTGTTTTACAAGGCGACATTTTGGAATAACCTTCCTTTCCCCAAAAATCTTCATCATAATATTTGACATTGAAAGGAAACTGAAATTCCACACAATCTCCCCTCGTAAATCAAGACCCTAACTGCACCTAGGTTGAACTAAGGTATGTAGGAAGAGAAGAAAAAAAAATAAATTGAAACAAAATTACCAAATAATATCCTAGTAGTTCCGGATCGTAAGTAACAAGAAAATCCTCAAGCAAAAACCACGAGGGGGTAAAAATAACCCACGGCGGTGTTACTTAGTATTCGAGTCTCTCCTCTGACGCAATGCCAGTATTTACATGTCGTCGTCATCAAGCCGGCGTTTCTTTTCTTCTTTTTTTTCTTCCTGGAAACAGATGCGAGAGGCCTCGTTTGGGGAAGCAAAGCCGAAAACAAGTTCAGTTTTTATCGCGCCAACCTCTTATCTCGCACAGTTCTCCGGCCTGCATTGTTTACATCCACCTCTTCGCAATGGGATATTAAAAAAAATAACAATACAGTCATGGATATCGAATTAGCATATGTATGCATGAGTAGCTGTCCAATCATAGAAGCGCTCGCTCATCCGGATGTGTGCCTTTCGCGCCGCCTACGCCGTTGGAAAGGGAGGGGGAGAGGCAAACAATGAAAATCAAAAATAATAAAAAAGGAGGGATTCGAGATAATTGATAATGGGGTGGTTGGGAAAGGTGTTTTGGTACTCAGAATGTTAATACTCAGATTTTTGGATCTTATTTTTAAAACTTAATTTTGCGATGTCACTATCGGCGGAATTCCTTGTTTCAAATGCATTCCGTTTGACAATAACTAATTAAATAAAAGATAAATATGCACATTGTTCTTTATAACTTATTTTAATAAAACAAAAAAAAAAAAAAAGCTTTCCCACTGTATATAAATTGAAAAAAAATCCCCAATCTAATATTCCTTTTTGTTGTAATTGAATAAAATATTAATTTGTAATGTGAAATTGTTTAAAAACAACAAGCAACAAATCTAACGGGCGTCCGAAAAGTATATATGACTGAACTTTCAAATAATTACTAAAATTAAATAAAAATATTCACTTATGTTCTTTTTTCTTTTTGTTCCGCGAAAGAGTATCAGTTTTCTTACAATACTTTATTGCACGATTTTAATGGGTGTGCCATTAGTTGCACACAACACAACGTCTCTATACGAGATTTCTAGACGCTTTCCATGAAGCATTGTAAGTTCATCACTGTAATTCAACTTTTCGTCTCTTCGTTGTCACTAATTGAGATTGTTAAATAATGCTTTTCACGTATTCACACAAGAAAAAGGCCAAAGGTGTTATGTCTAGAGATCTAGGTGGCCACGTTATTGGACTTTCTTCTTTCCATCCATCTCTCGCTCATGAAACTTTCCCTCACTTCCAAACCCCATTGTATTGGTGTCCCATTTGCACTCTACATGATTTTCAGATTTATATTCGATCGATAAATCATGCTACAACTTACGTTTGATCTTGCAGTGAAGCCGTTTTGAAACGAGAATGTTAAAAAAACGGGGACGTTACGCCATCCAGTTTGCATTTCGTTAAACAAAAACTTTCATCTTTTCTTTAAAAAACATAAAAAAAATCTGTAAATGAAAAAACATTTTTTTGTTTATATTTAATTAATTTTTGAAAGTGTAGTCATACTTTTCGGACACCCTATATTTAATTTTGCGAGAGAACTTAATATAAAATTACAGTGAGAATCATCATATCCAGGATGAAGTCATTTATTTTATGTACGTACTTAATATTCACATCCTTAAATTTGTTGTTTTGAACTGAATGAACTAAGGATTGATAATCAACTTTTCTCTTTTAAAAATCAT